GATTATCTTCTGTGTCTGTATTAATTGGTTTCCCTTTTCTTTGTTGAAGAGGGTCTGTGCAATCCTTCTGCCTAGTCCGCCATCTTGCCCCGCCCCTCTTCTCTATTTTAGAAGCTCTTTTTAAATTAGGAATATCAACTCTTTAAGGTTGTTTATTAACCTAAGAAAATGGTCACAATATGTTGGAGGCAAAAAGCACAAAATAATAAATTTGTAGTCAGTGTGAACACTACAGAGTTTGTTGGATGTATGTGTTGTTGTTGTTATGTGCTGTAGAGTCAGACCCGACTCATAGCGACCCCTCCTTGGGCTTCCGAGGCAGTATCCCTATGGAAGTAGATTGTTCCATCTTCCTTCCGAGGAGTGGCTAGTGAGTTTGAACCGCCAGCCTTCTGGTTAGCAGTCAAGTGCCTTAGCCCCTAGGCTACCAGAACTCCCTGGATGTATATAGAAAGACAAATTTGTACATCCTAAATATCACTAGCAATTAACTTTGTGTAGCTGAGATTATAAGTGATTTTTATATCCTCTTTATTCTTTGCATAATTTCTCATTATGAACACACTATAAATCTAGAAAAAATATAGAAAACTTTAATAAGACTTTGGGTGAAAGATGTACATTGATAACCAAGATACTGATTAATGTATTTCAAAATTTCATATTAGTTCACAGTATTCATTTACTTTGAGCACCCATACACTCAGCAGTTACACATGGAGTACCTACGATGCCAAGCACTGTTCTGGGTTCTGGAAAACTAGCAGTGAACAAAACAGATATGGTGCTGTCCTTCACTGAGCCTATTTTCTGAGAAAGGAAGGAAGACAAAGAACATCTTAAAAACATGCACACATCTATATCTTGTTAAACATGTTGTTGTTGTTATGTGCCATTGAGTCGGACCCGACTCATAGCGACCCCTCCTTTAGTTTCCGAGGCAGTATCACTACAGAAGTAGATTGTCCAGCCTTCCTTCCGAGGAGTGGCTGGTGGGTTTGAACCTCCAGCCTTCTGGTTAGCAGTCAAGTGCCTTAGGCACTATGCTACCAAAGTCCTGTATATTAGCTTTAAAAATAAAACCAAACTCACTGCAGTTGAGTCGATTCGACTCATAGCGACCCTTCCTTGGGAAGTAGATTGCCCAATCTTCCTTCCGAGGATTGGCTGGTGGATTTGAAGTGCCAGCCTTCTTGTTAGCAGTCCAATGGCTTAGGCACTATGCTACCAGAGCTTTGGGTTGTCATTTTCTTTGCTGTGAGACATAAAAATATGTGTGTGTATGTGTGTTTACCCATGTCATTTTGTTTAAAAAGTGCATATATAATTACCCCTTTACTTGTCTGTTTCATCTAAACTATAAGCTTCTGGAGAAGAACTTTTGTCCTGTCTTTTATTCTGTTCCCTGTATGTAGCACAGTGTTTGGTGATAGTGGACATTCTAAGAGTTATGAATGACTTCCTTGACAGAAGCTCAGAATCTACAACCCTAGACTGAGAGGTTTCCTAGAGAGGTTTCCCAGGTTGCAAGACTTTCAATGATCAAACTGAGACAGCTCAGGCAACTAATTTACTTGGTTACCTTAACTTAGAGTACATTGTGATAAGCTATCGTGTGGATATGCTTGAGATGCTGGGGGCATCCAGGAGGGAACCTAAACCAGGCTTTGGAAGCTTTGAACAGTTTTCCTGGCAAGATGACATTTGAACTGACTTCTGAAGGATGAACAGGGGTTAACCAGACAAAGAGGGGCCCACTATATTTTACATATTTACTCCATTTCACATGCTTAGTTTTACTAAATTTTAGATAAAATAAACATTGGCATTTGCTTAGGTGACATAGGATCTGGTTATACTCTTATATGTAGTGAGTGCTGACTTTAAGGTCCATTCATAGCCAGTGTATGAACTCTGAGCACAGCAACTTGTGCAAAGAGGGTGTGGCCAGGTCCACACAGCTCTTCCACTCACTCTCCCAGTCCTTTAGACTTGGCTGCTACCTAATCTTTCGTAAGAGGCCACTGGACAAAAAGGCAGGGGCTGTGTTCCTTTTACTTTATTCCTCTGCTAGCTAAATATTCCACGCACATTTGTGTTAGGTACAGAGTTCACCTTCTGGATGTCTCTGTAGCACTCAAGATATCAGTGTATTGTATATCTGTATGCCGAATGAAGGATTGGTCCCCTTTAGCTCCATCTCTTTTTGTCTCATTCCTCTAACTCTCTCCCCATTCTAGTCCCACTTTGTTTCTTGCATCTTCTTCCTCCTTTTCTCCATGTCCTACTCCTCTAGACCAGCCAGTGATAGTCATAGACTTTTGCTTTGGAGGTTTAAAAAAATTGTGTTAGAAATATAAGTAAGACAACATCTGCCAGTTCAACATTTTTCATATGTACAGTTCTATTACATTGATTACATTAATCATGTTATGTAACCATCAGTCATATTCATTGCCAAATTTTCCATCACCATTAACATATTGAATGCTTTCTAAAATAATGACTTTCCCTTTTTCTCTCAGTTGCTACACATTTGCCTGTTCTAGATATATGTGAGATCATATATTATTTGTCTTGTTGTATCTGACTTATTTCACTTAGCATAATGTTTCCAAAGTTCATCCATGTTGTAACATGTATCAGGACTTCATTTTCCTTTATGGATGAATAATACTTCATCGCATGAATATACCACATTTTGTTTTTCCATTCACCTGTTGATGGACACTTGAGTTATTTCTACCTTTTGACAATTGTAGGTAGTGTTGCTATGAACATTGGTGTAGAAAATCTGTTTGTGTTCCTGCTCTTAATTCTTTTGGGTATATCCCGAGGAGGAGTATTGCTGGGTCGCACAGTAAGTCTATGTTTAACTTTTTGAGGAACTGCTGGACTGTTTTCCACAGCGGCTGTAGCATTTTGCAGTCCCACCAGCAGTAGATGAGGTTTCCAGTTTCCCCACGTCCTCTGAATTTTGCTTTGGACTTTTGCCTTTGGCTGTTGCAATTTGTTGAGTGTAGTCAGTTGCAGGGTGACTAACTGTTCCTTTTTGCTTGGTACTGTCCCAATTTTAGCACTGCAAGTCCTGTGTCCTGGGAAATCCCTCAGTTACAGTCAGTTGGGAAATTGACCTCTGGAAACTGCTATATCACCAGTGACTTGGGATGATTCTGATGCTTTGTTTTTTTGCATTCAGTATGCAAATTTGTTTCATCATAGACAGTACTATCAGGAGATATTATGTCACAGGAAATGGGTAATCTCTCTTCCCTTTTAATCTTTAGCCAAGGGCTTTTGAACATTACTTGAATCTGGAAGACAGCAGACTGCTGAATCATCTGAAGACGTGTTCAGCAGCGTCCAAACTTCCCTATGATCTCTGGTTTAAGAGGTGCTTTGCAGGATGCTTACCTGAATCCAGTCTGCAGAGGCAAGTATTTCTTTCAATGGCGTATTGAGAGCTTGGATTCAGAGAAGGAGCCTGGTTTTTCATGTGGTCATTCCTTAAATAAATTTGCTTTAGAGTAATATGCTTTAATATGCTGAAATAATCATTACAACAACAACAAAATCGATCAGTCATTTGAAATCTATCCCAGACACAGTCAGCAGTTGGAAGGAAAAAAGAAAGATCACTGAAAAATATTGTTCTGCTATGACTCTGTCAACTGCACTTTGCCTAATGTTTCAAAACCGGACATTTTGGGGGAAGGAAAGGAAAATCCTAAATCAAAGTTTCTATTTTAATAATATTTTATAACAGTACACTTACTAAAAGGAGCTCTGGTGGTACTTTACAGTGATATGATGCTGACTTCTCCAGTAGCTAATATAACAACATATGACTCTGCTTATTATTTAAAGTATAGTTAGAAAAGTTGAGAGCCCTCAAGGTGTTAGGTGCCATACAATATTTAAATTTGAAATAGTCTCTAGGACTTTTTATAGATATGAGTTTTTCTTTTCCAGAGATGTGGTAGATATTAATCTAGAGAAAATTTTGTTACTTCTCAGTTTCATCTTTAAAGTAGCTGAGTACAGTCAAAGATTTGAGCCTTTTCAGTCTGTTTCAGACATTTTTGGGCAAGAACTGTGGTTCCCAAAGTGGAAAAGGCAATGAGTTCTGACCCGTCTCCTCCAACACATTAGAATGCAGTTGAGAAGAAAGACAATACACAGAGAACATTACAAGACAATATGTAACTAAGCATATAGAGAGTGTACTATCAACTTTTCAGAGTTAACAGGAATTATCAGAATAATTAGTTTAGTGGGGTTACAGGTCAGTAGGGGTTCCTGGGTGGTACAGACGGTAATATGCTTGGCTCCTAACTGAAAGGTTGGAAGTTTGAGTCCACCCAGAGGCACCTCAGAAAAAAGGTCTAGTGACCAGTTTCCAAAAAATCAGCCATTGAAACTCTCCTCTGACACACGTAGGGTCCCCGGGGGGGGGAGGGTAGTGTGTGGAATCGACTCAACAGCATCTGGTTTCCAGGTCAATAACTGGCTCCTTCAGCCCTTATAGAAATTTCAGGAATGTGTCAGAACTGCTGGAGAATGAACTTAAATTTATCTAATCTCATATGATTCTTTTGTTGTTGTTCCTTAAGTATGTATATCCAAACCCAAACCCACTGCCATCGAGTTGATTCTGACTCATTGTGACCCTATAGGACAAAGTAGAACTGCGCCATAGGGTTTCTGAGGCTGTAAATCTTTGTGGAAGCAGACTGCCTCATCTTTCTCCCTGGAGGGCTGGTGATTTCGAACCACCAACATTTTGGTTAGTAGCCAAATGCTGTAAATACTGTGCTACCAGAGCTCCTTTTAGTATGTATACTGTTATAAAATATTATTAAAATAGGAACTTTGATTTAGGACTTTCCTTTCCTTCCCCCAAAATGTCAGGTTTTGAAACATTAGGCAAAGGGCAGTTGGTAGAGTCATAGCAGAACAATATTTTTCAGTGATCTTTCTTTTTTCCTTCCAACTGCTGATTGTGTCTGAGATAGATTTCAAATGATTGATCGATTTTGTTGTTATTGTTGTAATGATTATTTCAGAATTGTCCTCTGAAGCTTTTACTTAAAATAAAAGGAGTAATCTGATTGCATTTTGTAATTTGAGATGTCTAGGTAACCATAACTTTAAAACTCATGCAAGGTTATTGTATCTCTTTGTTTTCATAGAGTTTGGGATAAAGTTGTAAGTGGATCCTGTAAGATCCTAGTTTTTGTAGCTGTGGAAATTTTACTGACCTTTAAAATAAAAGTAATGGCACTGAACAGTGCCGAGAAGATCACAAAATTTCTGGAAAATGTAAGTATGCCTGATTTGATTTGATTTAGAATCTAGACATGCAGTACTGCATTAAATTATTTCATGGAAATGATACAGTATATTTTTAGATTCTAAGAAATATTTTATCCACTTGAAAACGTTTTGATTTAAAGTTGTTCTGTGGATGATGGTCGTTTGCACTCTCTGCTTATGTGGGGGCGTTGGGGGTGGACGGTGTGTGGAATTGGTGATCATGGTAGTGAGACTGAGGAGAGTACCTGGGAGCATGTCAAGGAAAGGGAGAAGGACTGTCGCTGCAGGATGAGTGATGTTCAGTAATGGAAAAGGAATCCTTTTTGGGATGTTTGGGGGATTTTGTGAACTTTTTCATTTTGGTTATAGTCTCTGGCATAACCCCACTTGGGGTTTGGTAATGTGTTTAAGTATTAACTTAGCGGATGTTGAGAACAGTCTAGAGGATTCCGCTTTTCTCTGATGTATCTTCTTCTTGTTGTTGTTATGTGCCATCGAGTCAGCCCTGACTCATAGCGACCCCTCCTTGGGTTTCCGAGGCAGTATCTTAGAGTGCTCTTTATCAGGTGACAGGAAGAAGGGGAGCGACTTATGCCTGAATGAATTTCACAGGAGCTGAAACCCATGTTTTGTTTTGTTTTTATCAGTCAGTATTAATATTTGAAAAGTACCTGGTCAGTTGTGAGTGCTAAGTGGGTGGGTGTTCAATAAATGAATCCACATCATCAAGGTAGTTGGTAGCTAACAGTGCCAAGGCTTGTGCTCAGTCTTTCATGATTAGCTCATGTAATCCTTTAAACAGCTCTGTGAAGAAGGACCATCATGAACTCGGAGGACATTATGCTGAGTGAAATAAATCAATCACAGAAGAAAAAATACTTTATTAGTCTGCTATTGTAAAAAGCTAAGGAAAGGTTTACACATAGAAGAAAACTTTCTTTGTTGGTTACCAGGGAGGGGAGGGGAGGAGAGGGGAAGGAAAATGTCTAGATAGGTTGTTTTTTTTTTTAAAAAAAGATATGTGTGTGTGTGTGTGTGTGTGTGTATACACACGGACATACACACCCCCCAAAGATTATTAGTGGTTACCAGGGTAGGAGGGAGGGGGAAGGGGGAAACTTTTGTTTTTGTTTGGAGGGCATTGAGTTTATGCTAATAGGTAGTAGAATATTTTGGAAAAGGATAGCAATAATGTGGCACAGCATGAAAAATGTAATCAATGTTCCTGAGCTATAAATGTTGAAGTTTTTATGTTAATAAATGTCTTGTTGTATATGTTTACACCACAGTAAAAATAAAAAAGAAAAAAGAAAGGGCCATCATTATCCCCACTTTAGAGGCAGCTTAGGTAAGTTGCCCAAGGTCACAGTTAGTAGGTAGTGCAGGATTTGAACCCAGAAGATTTGATACTGGAACTCTGTAGCATGTTCTCAAGTGGCATGTGAAACAAAGTTCCTGGGAGGTTTCTTTTTTAAATCATTTCCATGCCCACTTTCCTTCCTTCCGCCCTCCTCTCCCCAACTCCTTCTTTCCATTGTAACAAATATATATGTAAAAGAATATTTGACACTTACACCATCTTTCCATGTACAGTTCGTGACATTAGGTTCATCATGTTGATCATCCGTCACCATTAATGGGAGCTCAGTGTACCCTAAGCAAGGACTTCTCCTTTTCTCCTCCCTTCAGCCCACCCCTGGGAGCCACTAATAGAATATAGTCTCTATACACATTTGCCTATTCTAGATACGTTGTGTAAGTAGGATCATGTAAAGGAGCTCTGCTGGTATAGTGGTTAAAGGCATTTGGCTGCTAACCAAAAGGTAGTGGTTCAAACCCAGCAGCCAATCTGTGGGAGAAAGATGAGACAGACTGCTTCTGTAAAGATTTACAGCCTTGGAAACGCAGTGAGGGGTGCTATGAGTTGGAATTGACTTGATGGCAGCAAGTTTGTTTTTTTTTGTTAGGATCATACAACATTTGTCTTTTTGTGGCTAACTTATTTCACTCAATGCCTGGCAACCTTTTATACTATCACTGTCTGAAAAACAGTGAAAGCTCCAGTAGAAATAAATTTTACGCCCCAGCAAATGAGGGAGATACTGAAGTTGTTAGTGCTGAAAAGTTCATGACGATCCTTTTGCTTGTTCACAGATTCCCCAGGACAGCTCGGATGCGATTGTGAGCAAGGCCATCGACTTATGGCACAAACACTGTGGGACCCCGGTGCATTCAGCCTGAACGCTCTTGACACTTGAGGACAGTCTGCCAGACCTGCCTTGAGCATTTTGTTTTGGGGACATGGTCCTCTACACTGAGTGAAAATCATGTTCTTGCTCTGGTGCTCAAATTGTAACTTTTTTTTCCCAGTAAAATTATTTAATTAAGATACCTGCTGTTGCTGTGTTGTGGACCAGCATCTTTTAGTTGCACCAAAGTGCAAAGTTCAATTCTGAATAGCAGTTTTAAAGGGTTATATGAAAATATCTCCAGTTTTAAAACCAGTCAGGATGGGTGGGTGGGTGCATTAGTAAGAAATGCATAACTGAGCCTGCCTCCCTCTCCCTAATTAGCACCAAGTTAGCTACTGTCTAAGGTCTATTTCTGGAATAAAGAACAACTTCCCTTTGTTGACACCTCAGATTTGGCTTTTGTTGATTCAATACTTGTTTAATTCTAAGCTGTCTTGAGGCTTCATCTTGCTAAAAAGGCTTTAAACAACTCTTAACTTTTTTTTCCTCTTTATGAAAAATGAAATTCCAGTTAAAATGAAAGTTACTGAACAAAATCTAAATTTACCTACCAGGCCTTTTTCTTAATAGGTCATTAAAATGTTGAGAGGACTTCAGGGTACTCTACCACACACTGTAGGAGTGGGAGAAATTGAAGGTTAAGGTTAATAGCTAGTGGCCCTGGGCATATTGTGCCACATAATGGCAACTGTTCATTAGACAGGTCCAAACTTTGAGAGTCCAGTCAGTGAAATGAGGCCCTTTGTCTAAGACTGGCGTGTAAGAGAGGAACACAGAAGTGTCACCGTTCAGTTGTCAGACCTGCAAGAGCCTTAATAGGGTTCTTCCACCACCTCCAACCTCCCAAAGAGGAAGGAGACAATGAAATAATGGAATTATAGTCCTGAGAATTCAGTCACTCTTTAATGTGTAAAATACCTGTTGAGAAGGAGTTCAGAGAAAAACAAATTGTTGAAACCAGCTGATATTTCTGTACAGTAACATATGCAGGAGTATTTAATTTTTTAAAACAGCACACTCTGATGAAAACACTCTAAAAGTAGAACTGTTGCCTATGGTTAATACACCAACTCCTTAGTTATCTACTATCTCGTTATCCAACATTTCACATTTACAACTGCAGTGTAGTAAATTACTTTGTGTGGCTTTTCTACCCATAAGTCTTTGTAAACTCCAAGGTGGGATTTGCTATGAGCAACTGAGGAGCTCCTGATTGCTGAAGGTGTCCACCTGGAGTATTTCTGTTGGGAGTGGCGCAAAACAATGTTCTGGGAGGTGCCCACTCTCTCTCAGGTGCTTAGAGTTCTGATGCCATAACTGGCTAGTTTGACCACCCTGCGGGCTCTAAAGGAGACCTCCTGGAGGCAGAACTCTCTCGGACTGCTGGTCGAGGAAGACTTGCTGCTGAAAGAGACACGGGCTCTTGAGACACGCTGTTGCTGGGAAAGAGACGCAAGAGACACGCACCCCAGAAAGAGACTGTGAGAGACTCTTGGCTGAGGGACGGTGGGCTGGAGAGAGAGAGACTGAGCATTTTTTCCTGAATGCAAATTGTAGCTTGGTGCTTCCCTAATAAACCTTGTAATCTGTGAGTTCTGTGTGGCCACTGCAGCGAATTATCGAACCCAGGAGAGAGGTGGTGGGTGCTCTGGGAGGAACGGTTGGAGAAAGGGCTGGAGGGAGGCAACATGTCTGGCCTGGCAGTAATAGGCCTTGGGTTACTGCTGGTAATCCTGTCTTCCCCTTGTGGGGTTAGAGGAGGTCAGAACATGTGGCCTCCTTGCCGTTTTTGTAACAACCATAGTAAAAAATCTACCCAACCATTTTGTGCATTAACAATGTACATCTAGCAGTAACACAAAGTTGTGAAGCATAAGTAATGTTGGCTGTGATGGTTAAGGTTATGTGTCAACTTGGCCCTAATTCTCAGTGTTTTGGTAGTTATGTAATGATGAGTTTTGGCAGTATGCCATGATGTAATTTAACAGTTATGTAATGATGTGATTTGGTAGTTATGATGTGGTCATCCTTCATTTTTGCGTAACACCGATTTTTTTGTAACATCTTTGAAACCTAACCATATTGATAAGTGAGGAGTGGGTGTCCTCTTACATAAAACTGACTCTGGCAGCCCTTTTTTCACTGGTTAATTCTGCCCAGCTGGGAATAGAAGAAAAAATACAGGACACAAACAAGCAAGGATTCCTGTCTCAGTTGTCTACTATTTAGTGATCTTGGAGGATATGTGAAACTCAGAGAAGTCATAAAACAAAAAGAATTTTACTTCTATTTAGAACCACATATGATTTGTACGTTTTAGGAAGGTAGAGATTATGAAGTGATGCTAGTGAATCCTAACTCCAGGAAGAGAAAACCGAGCAGTGTCTCAACAAGAGCAGGCTGAGATATGAGCAAGTGCTTACTAATACTAGATGCTGAGAGATGACTAGCATCGGGAGAGCAAGTGTGGGAGATGGGAGTATGCAGGGGCAGGCGACAGGGCTGATGTTCCTCTGACTTCACAGTTTTGGCTAGGAACCAGATGATCTCAAGCAGACGATTACTGTATTGCTAAGGAACCTAAAAATAAAGTCTGTATGTATATTCTGTCAGATCCCATTGGGTAAAACTTCCTGTGGAGAAGGGGATGGGGATTTCTTAAGTGAGTCAATCGATTGCCATCAAAAGAGCTTTTCCTTATTAGAAAAGAGAAAAGGAGCCCTCTCAGCAGAAGGATTAAGGCTTAGACCCTGAGGACAGTGAGAGGGTGGGTCCAATGTGACTCAAGTATCAGAATTTTATTTTGCTGAGAGCAGTTTTGAAAATGTTTCTGTTTCCTGCCTTTGGTGAGGTGAACACCTGATGAAAAGACTCCAATACTCTCTTTATTCAAAATGTTTTGTCAGGATACTGCAGAATTCTTTTTACACTAAAAAACTCCAGGATTTCTGACATGATCAAAACTATTTTGGCTAATGTGGGATTCTCTCTTTCCCTTTAAAAACTAGGATTTAGCATTAAATTTTGTTTCTATTCCTTAGGCCCTTCTAAAGTGTCTTCTTAAACACACACAAGAAACTCTAAATCCACTCTGCTAGAAAACACTGATGACCAAGGAAAGTTGGTGCATACGTGTGGCATGTATGTGCATGTGTTGTGTGTGTGTGAGAATGTATATGTGCGTGGGAGAGTACACACATTTGAGAGTGTGTGCCTTTTGCTTGACGACTAATTGTATGGGCATGAGTTTGTGTATATCTGATGTTGCATCAGGAAATGGAGTCAAAGTTCATACCAAGTGCTTTTTCTTTTAATGGAAATTATTCTGAAATTATGGGGCAACACTCAAACCACATGATGTGTAGAAAGAGCTCTTACAGCTTGTTACTCTGGGTGTGAGGCATGCCTGCCCTGTCTTGAATTGCTTAAGAATCTTTATGGGCTACTCTCCTCATCACAAACCTGTCCCTGGCAGGTGGTCATTACCTCCCCACTCTGACTTCACTTAAAAGTGAAGAATCTAGAAAGAATTCTGTGGCTGAAGAACCAGTTTACCATGGACTTGACTCTGACTCATGGTGACCCCATGTGTGTCAGTACAACTGCATGCTCCATGGAGTTTTCAGTGGCTGATTTTTTGGAAATAGATTGGCAGGCTTTTCTTTGAGGTGCCTCTGGGTGGACTCAGACCTCCAACCTTTTGGTTAGCTGCTGTAGATGTTAATGCTCAAGACTAGATCCTAAGTCTAAATCCCTTGCTCAGATGCCCCAGATAATAGACTGTACCTGGGCTGTGAAGTTTTAAACAAGAATGGTGTCCTGTGTTCTTCAGTCAAGGTGGCCTTTTTTTCTTTGGTGGTGTGGGAGTTAAGCAGGAGACAGTGCCCCTGTTGAGATCCCTGGCTTTCTGCCTACAGTCACAGAGTATGCAGTAGCCTTTGTTCTCAGCTGCAGTTTCAGATTTGGAGACAGTGCCCCTGTTGGGGTCCCTGGCTTTCTGCCTACAGTCACAGAGTATGCAGTAGCCTTTGTTCTCAGCTGCAGTTTGGGATTTGGAAGAGCTAGAGGGGCACTTTGCTTTTCCCTGGACACAGAGTGGAACTTGGGAAGCTTTATAGCAGGAGTTAGTGGTGTTCCGTCTGGTGGATAAAACTAAGAGCTGCTTCTCCTTCAGACTCTTGACAAATGGAACTGCTTGTGGCTCTTGGCACACGTTCCCTTTCTAGCTCAGCTGCTGCTTTTCCAGAGTTGATGCAGATTGAGTGGAAGGGATGAGTGAAGGAAGGGGGCAATAAGAACAAGAAGGGAACAGTTTTCCAGGAGAATCATGAGGGGTGAAGGAGGGGTGAGGTGAGCAGGCTGTCCTTTGTCTGCCCTCCTGACCCTCCCTTTCCTCCTTAGTCCCTCCTTCAACCTTGACTTACAGACTTTTTTTTTTTTTTTTTAATTTTTTTCTATTGTGGTTTGGGTGAAATTTTACAGCACAAATTCACTTTCCGTACAGCAGTTCACATACACTTTGTCTCATGACATTGACCACAGTTTACCACAATGCAACAGCTTCCCTCCCACTTCCTCCTGATAGTTGTTACCTCTTCCTTGTGTCCATCCTTCCATGCACTCCTGCCCCCTGTGCTGTCTCCCTGGGAATCAACAGCCCTTCTTTCCCCCAAGATTGATCTCTCCAACGAGTGTATCTACCTAATGTAAATGTTTAACTCATATGCCTGTCTTTTGTTTGGCTGGAAGCCACAGGTATGGGTTCAATTCCAGACCTGAAGGGCAGCTAGGGGCCATAGTCTCAGTGGTTCCACTAGGCTCTATCAGACCAGTAAAACCTGGTCCCCCTTTTTTTTTCTCCCAAATGATTTTGAGTTTTGTTCCACATTTTTCTCCCTCTCTATCCAGGATCTCCTACATAGATCCCCCTCCAAGTGGTTGACAGTGGTAGCCGGGCACCATCTAGTTCTTCTGGTCTCATAGTCATATAGGCTGTGGATTGCTTGGTGTACCAGTTGCTAGAACTAATTGTTTCC